TGTGTTCACTCYTCAGCCCCGCTAAATAAATAAATGAGAATAAAAGTCTTTCTGTGCCAACAACTGATAGCAACGTACCCTCCTATCTACTGTCTCCAGGCTGCAACTGCCCAGGGGAGGAGGTCATGGCGTGGACATCTGTTACTGATGCCCCTCAGAGAAAATGAGCCCTGGGCTCAGGTTCTCCCAAGTCTRTGCAGCCTCCCAAGTCTCTCCCCTGAGTGTCACTTGCCTGCATGCTAAACTCCAGTAGAGGTGCCAAACTCAACAGGCACTGGATAAACTGCTTGGTACAACCAGGGCTCACCAGAACTTCGACTCTGCCCCTATTTTAACTATTCACAATGCAGGAACATCTTTGGACCCTGGGAAWATATCCATCAAAACGGCACAACCAAGCACAGGGCTGCACGCCTATAATCCCTGTTATTTGGGAGGCCGAGGCAGGAGGAGCRCAGGTTTGATGCCAGTCCGSGCAGCTTCGTGAAACTGTGTCTTAAAACTTTTTTTTTAAAGGGTTAGGGGTATAGCTCAGAGGTAGAGCACACCTGGGTTCAATCCCCAGCACCACAATAAAAAGAAGAAAAAGCAAAAACAAAAAGCACAGAAATATCTGGCCCAGACATTTTTAAAGGGTAGGGTGCCCATGTTGCTGGGGGAAGTGCAAGGGCAGCCGGATGCTGCCAGTGGGTTCACAGTGACTTCTGACGGGGAAGCAGAAATGAGTTTCTCCTTTAAGATCTGGTGAGAAGTGAGCACAACCTGGCAGCAAGCTCAGATCCATCCACATAAGTCCCTGGCTGGCTCTTCTRCAACTGGCAAGGTAACTCATGTGTCACCTGGGGCAGTGTGAGATCTGTCAGCATGAAATGAGGGGAACSGAGAGGAGTACATGAGCACCACCAACTGGCTAACGTTACAGAACTTACTTGGGAAAACATGCTAAATGCTAATTCCAAGCCAAGCTCCTGAGGCACCTCCTGCCCACACCAGCTCATGACAGWTCCACGTCCCAGAATCAACACTCTGGGCTCATCCTGAGGCTGCTCACACYGGACCTGTGGTCCCTCAATGGCTCCTGAGCCTCCCTCTTCCAGACCAACCAGTTTAACACCTTCTAGACTGGCTCTGCTGCACCTGACCCCAGGCTCGGTACCTCTTTGCCTGTCTCAGTGTCTCCCTCTTGTCCAGCTCAGTGTCCTTCTCAGCCCAGCCATCTGAGTTCACCTGAGATGGAATCAGTCATCTGCTCAGAGCCCTCCAGGGAGGGTGGCTACCTCTGAATAGGAGCCCAAGTCTGACTGCAATCTTCCTCACTCCCAGCCCATGCTCTCTACTGCACATGCAGTAGAGACTCACTACTCAAACCCAACAGGCACACATGGGACTCAGGGCCTCTGCACTGGCTCTCACTCTACCTGGGTGCCCTATCTAGATATCCACTGGCTTGCTCCCTTCTTTCCTTCAAGTGTCTACTCAAAGGTCACTCAAAGGTCATTAGTCCCAGACCATCCTGAAAGCTGAGCCCCTCCCCTTCCCCTAAAGTCATAGCCCTTTCTTGGCTTATTTATTTTCTTTCTGAACATTTATCACTATTTAACATATTTTATCCACTTGTTGATCTTGTTTATTATTGGATTCTTCCAATCAGAATATAAAAATCATGAGGGCGGGGGGTGGGGAGGGTGGTCTTTTCATTTCATTGTCCAAAGCACCTGAGCCTGGCATTCGGTAGGCACTCAGCAGATATTTGATTGAATGAATGAATGTAAAATCAAAATGTTGATGGCATAATCCCCAAGTATTGAAGATCACCCAACTACTTAGAAATAGAATCTGCTGCAGCAAATGTGACCAGGCCAGCTCAAAGGTGACAGGCCTGAAACAAGTGTGATTTTAAAAGGACCAAAATAGTTAAACAAAAAAAAAAAAAACAACTCACTCAATGAATAAATATTGCATGGTGATGTTCTAAATCCCAAATTTTCCTAAATGTGAGAGATGGAAATAAGGTAAGAGAACTTGATCATGCTCCAGGGAGGAAACCCTGAACCCTGTTAGGTACTGCATAGAGGAGATTTAAGTTCAAGGCCTGGCCCTTWCTGGTGCTAGAGTGCAGGGAATTATCTTGTGAATCCAGAGATAAGTAGCTACCTCCCTCCACTAGGGCTGGGGGACTAGAAAGGAAGAGGTAWTAGACTCAAGTCAAGAAGAGGGTTAGGATCTGGTGAGAGGCCCAGATTCCAAGGAAGAGGCCTTGCCCTACTTTACCCAAATAAAAGGCCAGGAAGGGAAGCTGGTGAGCATTGAATCTCCATCCCATACTGGGGTTAATATCCCTGCAGATGTGTCATCAAGGGCCCACGGATTGCTACCAAGCATGACTCCAGAGTATGCAAAGGACAAAAAGTATAATTGTCTCCAAATGCACACTCTCCCCCCACTGCAATATTTGAGGAACCAAGAAAAAGGGCTCCACATCATTTTAATTGCACACAGATTCAAAAATGCAAAGCAGGGGACCAAAGCTTCCATACCGTCTRAGAATGTGTAGCCAAACACTGATGAGAGCTACCAGCTTGTTGCCAGCAAAGCTCAGAACTCAGATTTCCTCTCCAAGCTTTTTCATGAAACCAGAGACTGCAAATTTAACACAGCCCAGAAATTTCAACAAATATAGACCAGAGAATCTTAACAGAGAAATTATAGGGAGAGAAGCTGGCATTGCCAATACAATACACGCATCTGGTTGCCTTTTGGTGTTTATAGTTTGCAAATTCTGATAATCTTTCTATGCAAATAATAAATCTCCATGAGAAAAAGGAAGAATCTACTTTTCTATTTCTGTGATATACCTTGCTTAGCAAACAATTTAGGGACTTCCCTGGTGTGGCACAACAAAACTCTGGTGGAACTGGGGCAGACCCAGCTTGCCTCCAAGCAGAGACCAAGGACTGGAAGGGAGACAGGGTTGAAGGTTACTCCTCCTCTGGGCCTCTCTTCAACCCCTCTAGGGAGCTGTGGGCTGGTCCTTACAAGAGGCCCCCACCAAACAGGTCACCATCAGCCTCAGCAACAGTTCCAACAGTTACATGGCAGGTTGTCAGGAAGTCCTTTACATCCGGTAACTGGTCCTCAACCTAACCGCCCTCTGCCAGTCCTATCACCTTGGCCTCCAATCCCCATTTCTGACTTTTGTTCCCTTTTTAAAAGGTAAAGGCAGCTATCACAAACCTTCTTATTTTTCTTCATGATAATCAACCACTTCCTAAATATTTCTTTAGTCACTCTGCAGAGACACTCCATTCCAGGAACTGACCCCAGCACAAATCGACCCCATGCAATGCTGGGACATGTGTAATGACAAGGCAAATTGCCCCCACTCACCTACCTTCTGCTCCTGGGAAGGTGTTTTCATCTGGGCCTCCACAATGAAGCCACACCCCTTTCCCCACCACCTGGAGCAGCCACCCTAGCCAGAAATAGCTAATGCTGGCAGTAATGAAAACAACTGGTATTWACCAAGGGTTTACTATTGTCAGGCACTTTATCATGCATTTTAATCTTTGCAAAAGACACTGGCAGTCAGTACTAAGTCACAGGGAAGAGCTGGATTCCCACCAGTCTGCCTGGGGTCACAGCTGAGCTCAGACACCTGGCCAGAGTGAGTRAGACTCAGGAAGTCCCATTTGTTTATGGCCTGCCTTGTTCCAGAAAAAGTCACTGAATACACTGCTGTTCCTTCATCATCCTTTTTTCAATTGGCATTCATTTGTTGAATTACAAATGTTATAATAAATAGCAAATTCAAAGAAATCTGTTTCCATACTTGAAATAATACTCCAATTCAAAAACAGTTACACATGTAAGAATCTGGGAAGCAAAGAGAAGTGGAGAGGCAGGTTTTCTCACCCAGGGYTGACTTTGGGAGCCTTTCCAAGTGATGTGTCTGCCAGAGGACTTGTCATGAGAACTGAGCTAATTATCCACAWAATTCACACATGGGGTGGGGCCTATTGCCAGGGGAAAATAGAGGTTATCTCCAGACCTCAGCCAGACAGGCAGCCAAAGAGACCTGTGCTGGCTGCCCAGCTCAGGTAACTTCACCTCAGCTGCCAGGGGTCTTTGCTTGGAAGACGACTCAAGTGACCACACAACTCACGTCTTCTCTGCCCCCATGTCTCCAACCTACTCAGCTTCAGCCCCTCTCTTTCTTGCTTCTTCCCCTTTTCCAGCCCCCTTTCTGGCAGTAGGAAAAGGGAAGCCACCAGTTTCTGAAAACAAGCGTCCTGGCCAAGCCGGACTAGTCACAAGGCCAGGGAGGAGGCGGCCGCAGCTAATCAAACCCGAATGTGGACTCAGGCCTGGGGTGGGGACCCTGTGCTGTCCATGCAGCCGCAGGCGGGGCGGCCCCCTCTTGGGGAGGGGTGAAAGGGCTGCTGCGTGGCACCTCGCACTCCAGCTCAGCTGACTCCCAGGGAAAAGGAGGCGCGGTCTCCCCGGGAACGACTCAGAGGCAGCTGTCCCAGCCGTCTCCATCCCCAATTCGGACACGCTTTAATTGTTTCCAAACACTTCCCCAACCCTCCTTCTGCCACCGACTGGCTCTTCCGAGGGTGGAGGTATGGGGTCATCGCTCCAGCCTAGGGGGCTAGGGCTGAGTAGTGATCAGACCGTGACTTCCTCAGAAGTGACTTGTCCTTGGAGACAGGGGACCCGTCTGCCGGCCTCGGCCCCTTTCCCATCTCATCTCATTTCTCCCTCAGGAGTGAGTGCCTCCTGGCTCCAGGGCTGGCGCTAGGTCTGCCCTGGCGTCCTTCTTTTAGAAGCCCCAAGTCTAAGTGTCCCCTGTCCCGCCGGCAACAGAGCGGGAAGACGCATCATCGGTTTAAGTTATTCTTCCCTGCTGACTTCACCGCCTTGCCTCGCCACGACGTGCCCCCTCCCCACCTCCCGGTCCTCCCAGCCCAACCCCTGCCCGGYGCTCTGCAGCCCCACACCTTGCCGCAGCGGCCCGCGCGCCAGCTCGGGCCGGTCCTCGGGGAAGGCGTCGCGGAGGCGCTGCCACAGGCGGCCTAGGTCGGCAAAGCTGCGGTGCAAGTAGAGCACGCTGCGGTCCGACCACTCCGTGCGGATCTCGAAGAACTCCTCCTCGTCGCCGCGCCGGCTGACGATGAGCCTGCGAATGCCGTTCACCCAGCAGCCGCGCACGAACATGTTCACAAGCGACGTGCCCTCAAACACCGCCGAGGCCATACCGCGGGCCTGGCATGCCCTGGCCGCCGGGGGCGCCCTCGGCCCCTGCCTGCCCGCCCGCCGGCAGGAGGCGCGCCCGCGCCGGGGGTCTGTTTGGAGCTGGGGTCCGGCCGGGTGCGTCTGGTCTCGAGTGCGTCAAGGGCCGGGATCCGCAGGGACCCGCGTCTGTGCGAGACTGGAGTCGACCTGGGTCGGTCCCCAGCCGGGGTCTGTCCCCAGCCGRGGTCGTACTGGGGTCTGAGGTCTGTCCTGGGGCTGCCGGAGCTGCAGGAGTCTTCCCGCGTCTGCCCGGTCTCTGCGCGCACTCCCGGTGCTGCCCGCGATCCGGGCGCCGCCGCGACAAAAGTCGGTCTGTCCGGCCCGGCGGCGGCTTTATAAGACACTTCCCATCGCGGGCGGTGCGGTTGTCGACGTCGAGTCCTGGTCGCGTCCGCCTCCCTCCCCCTCCCTCTGAAAAGCCGCMACGGGCCGCGCGCGGAGGGGGTGGCCTGACCCACCGCGCCCCACGCCCCGCGCTGCCTCCGCGGAGCCCGCGCCACTGCGGCCGCGGGGACCCGAGCGCTCGTCCCCGCCTCCGGGCCGCGCCGCCGCTTCCTCCCTCCGCGGCCCCCCGCCGCCGGTCGGTGACTGGACGAGAAGCTGGAAGGGGAGGGCGGGGCCGGCCCTGCGCTCACGGGGGCGCTTGGTGGAGACTTTTTTCTTTTTCCGTTTCTCRATCTTCAGGATTTCTCCGTTCTAGGAGCTGCGGGCCCCACCCGCTCCGCGAGGGGATGGAAACAGCACGTCGCCGGGCTCGCGGGCCGGCGCCCCGAGGCAGGCCAGCGCATGTCCCCGTGGGGGGCGAGGGCCGGGCGGAACGCCAGGAGTCCGCACGGTTSGCTTTGCCTTGATCTCTTCGCCGCCCCCATCCCATCCACCCGGGCCCGGTGGCCTTGACCGGGGCTGGACGCCCCGGGTCCCCTCGGGTGCCTGACGTCTCCGCCCCGCTTCCTCCCGCGCATTCCGGTCGTGCCTAAGCCTGGCCATTGCCCGGACGCGGCGGGACAGTCAGACCAGAAGCGTGGGTGGAGGGCCCCTAGGAGCTCAGCCAGCTAGCTGAGGGGCAGCTCTCTAAAAAGGGACGTGGGACAAAACAGTAATGGGAAAGGGGGTCCCCTCGGAAAGGGCATCTGRGAGTGATCCCAACCCTTTTGAGAGCTGAGGGATTTCGGAGATGGAACTGGGAAATTTGCCCACACTAAGTAGGCATTTGCGTATTTCTTAGGCTGTTCTAATTGGAAGATAATGTCTAACAATAGTTTAAGAACTGGAAGTTGGGTTCGTCAGTGACTCGGTGACGACACATTGCTAAGGTCTGGGTGGGAGACCAAGAGAAGCCCTACAGCCTTTTATGCAGTTCTAGAAAATCTACAGCTCCCAAATGACCCCAAACGCAGCGTTAGAAACGTCAGAGGCTGGAGACAGGTGGCTTTTCTCTGTGTCCAGTCCGGACCCAGATGTCTGTCTTCCACCACCCTACCCCCCCCCCCCAGTCTTTTTCAGACTGCCCCCAGGGACTTGTGAAAATATATATCTTCAAAGTTCTTTATCAGGGTTTGTCTTTACCCTCTCCCTGTTGGTCAGCCTCCCCCTTTGCCCTGCAAACTGGAGAAGATGTTTTCCACAATCTGGAACCACTCCCCAAACTAACCCCCACCCCCAACCAGGGTAATCAGTGTTTATTGACAGATAACTGGCCAGAGGGAGAGGCCTGAAGACAGAAGCACTCAGGGAGCTGGCAGCTTCAAAGCCCGGTGGAGGCACTTYTGTCTCTCCATCCTCTCTGGACACACACCTGATTTCCCTCGCTGCTCTCCCCTCCCCCATCAGCATCTCTGGGACCTCCAGGTTTATGGTGCTTTTATGAACCCTTGCTGTGTGAACAGTCTTTGCTAGAGACAATCAAGTCTTCGTTCCCCTGTTGCCTTAAGAGGCCTAATCCCTTCAGTTTGTGCCAGGCATTCCTGTTCACTAAAAAAAAAAAAAAGTGTTTTCATATTAGTGACACGTGTTTGTTTAAAGAAACCTGGAACTTGAGAAAACTAGATGGCTTAGTAAAAATAGCAAATGCTGAAAAGTTGCTCAGATTGAAACACAATGAGATGCCATCTAATTGGTGCATTTTACTTAAATAAGAGAAATTATCCAAATTCTGGAAATAAGATGAAAAGGATAGTCATGCATTCAATGTCATGTTGAATTATTGTTTAAAAGCCCAAAGATTACTTAATTTCTTTGGACCATATACCTTTCTTTTATTTTGCTATTTATTATTAACAAAATGCTAGGACTGTGAAGTCATGTAAATTTGTAGATTTATGCCCAGGACCGATACAAATAATTTTTGTCCAGAAAAAAATAAAGTTTACCCTAAAGGTTATCTTTTATTGCACTTTAGGACATTAACTGTTTTTTGTTTTTTTAATCTAGCCTAGTAARCTTATTTTAACTTTATTTTTAAAAGATTATATAAACCTAGGCCCTCAAATGGTCTTTGAATCAGCCTTATCATGTTACAAATTCTCATTAATTAACAAGTAGAGTATTTTTTGACACATATTTGCAGAACCATTTGAGAGTCATACTTCTAACCTGTAAAAAAAAAATTGCTTGTTCAAGTTTAACAAGAACAAGAGCTTTTGCAAGGGTGTGAAGAGACAAGGACCTTTATAGACTAATATTGGTGCATCAGTTGGAAGAGGTTCTTTGGAAAACAGGTTTGCAGTATTTGTTAAAACAACAACAACAAAAAATGTGTATAACTTGTGTCCCAACAATTCCCTTTTCTAGGATTCAATCCTGGAAAAACATTTCCACATATGTACTAAGAGAAACACACAGGGACATTCATTGTTGCACAGTTTACTAAAGTGAGAAATTGTAAGTGATTTAAATGTTCATTGAAAGGGAGAAGAATAAATTACTGCCACATGAATAAATTACAGCATGATGGTCTACTACGCATCCACAAAAATGAATCAGTTAAAAAAGCGTGGACCAATCTCAGTTACAGAATGTCAGTGGAAATAGGTGATGGGTATAATATGGTAGTATAGCTACACATAACAAAACAACAGTAAATTTAGAAAGGGACCTACCAAATCAGTAAAGTTCCGTTAGAGGTGGTGAACAAGTCCAGATGGGAGGGTGTCAAGAGAATTTTTGCTTTTTCTATAATGCTCTTATGTACATTTTTAATTAAATAAATGCATCTATTACTTTTAATAGGGGAATGGGGCCTATGGGAGGCCAGTCAGTAGGACTTGACTCTAGATGGTGGGAATAAGTGCTATTAATATTTTCTTCTTAATATTTTTCTGTGTTTTAAATATTTTCTAAGGGTGATGAAGAAAATGAGGAAAGAATCCCTGAAATAAATACAAGTTGACTATCCCTTATTTCAAATGCTTGGAACTAGAAATGTCTCAGATCTCGAGAGTTTTTTGTTTTGTTTTTTAATTTTAGAATATTTTCATAAGCTTCACCAGRTTGATCATCCCTAATTAAAATATGAATACTCTGAAATCTGGAACTTTTTGAGTGCTATCTCCAATTGAGTTGGGAATTTAAAACCAAAATATAAAAAAGTCCTCAACTGTTGTTAAGGATAATAAAAAAGCATATGGCAGAAAGCGTGCTGTAAACACCTYTGAGGACCTGTGTTATATAAATGTCAGGAAGCCATCCAGAGGAGCAGGAGTGGTTTCGGGTTATAAATCAAGCTGATTAGCTAGTCCAGTGCCTGGGGCTACAGAATAGAAGGTGAAATGGAAAACAAATAGGAGCTCTCTGGGTCACCTGTCCCAGTTCCAAGCTGGGTTTAAAATTACAAAGGTGTATCCAAGGAAGGGCCCTAGTTGTAGGTAAGAGCCTTGGAAACAAGAGACTCAGCCCAATTAATAAGAGTAAATAATGAGAATAAAAGTCTTCATGAAATTCAAGGCCTTCACTTTGGAAGGGATGTATGAATGTTTTGTTGATTTTTCCTTTGTTTTTTTCTTGGTTTAAGTGTTTGGGGTTTTTGTTCGTTTGTTTCACTCTAGCCTTGCTCCTCAGCTTTCAATGTTAAGAGAAAGATGACACAAAATTGACAGTCATTTCCCCCAGTTCACCCTCTGTGACCCATTCCTTTGGCATCTAACACAATAGCAGCTCAGTCTGAAATAAGATTGAGAACTCTGTCCAAAGTATAGAGCTAGGAGGTAAGAATAGGAGAGGAGAGGAGATGCAGACCCCAGAGTGACCCACACTTACAGTTTCCAGCATTTGTTACCACTCCCATTCCCACTTCATTCTGGCTCCCTCAATATAAAAGCTAGAGCTAAAGACAGGCTACCTGTGCTTGGATGAGTTGGAAGCTCTCAGATGGATAAAATACTCATAGGAGCACCATGATTTCCGTTTTGACTTTTGCCTCTCTGGTTGTTCTAGAAGCAGTGAGATAATTCAGTAAGCATCCCTCAAAGTGCAGCTGGTGTGTGTGTGTGTGTGTGTGTGTGTGTGTGTGTGTGTGTGTGTGTTCAGAACAATAGGGACAGGATCTCACAGTTGTAAACAGTTTTTCCAACACACTGACTGATGTGATCCTTACAGCAGCCCAAAGGGACAGGAAGGAGAAGATCATTCTTCCTTGGCAGAAGGTTCCTAAGGGGTCCAGAGTGGCTCTGGACAGAGAGCTGGCCCCATACCAAGGACTTCCAAGGCTCTGCTTGATACTTATTCTACCACTGTCTCTTGGCCTTGATCCCAGTCTTCCTTCACTTTCCCAAAGCACCAAGTGCCTTCCCACCCAGAGCCACGAACAGACCCAGCAGGCCCTCYGTGTAGAATGGCCTTCCTCACCCATGCCTGGACTGTTGATTCCCACTCATCTTTCTGACCAGTGCTTCTCAAACTAAAGTACCTGGGAATTCTCTGAGACCTTAAAAAGCAGATTGTGATGCAGAAGTTCTCGGTGGAGGCCTGAACTTCTTCATTTCTAATACAATGTAAGAGCTTGCCCTTCTGTAATCTGCTCTAAGTAGCAAGGCTAATCCTAGCATAAACCTCATTTTGTCTAGAAAGTGATGCAATCGTATAGGACCCTGCATAGGTTCATAATGATCGTGAAGTATTCCTCATGTTTTTCTGGCTAGACTGTAATCTCTAGGAGGCCAAGAATGATCACCGTCTCGTTCATATTCATATTCACAAGGTACAATGGCTGGCATCCAGTAAGTGCTCACTAAATATCTCTTCAATAACTGACTGAATGACATACCGGATTGAATGAGCCAGCAAACCAAAACTGTCCTCATAGAAACAAAGCCATCCCTTGATTTCCAATAATGAAACATTTTAGCAAGTTTCACAAACCATCATCAACTCCAGATTTTCCCAGAGACACAAACCCCAGGCAATAAACCATCTTAAAAGGGACAAACTCAAATGTTCATGGTAATTTTCTCTCAAGAATGTGATTACAGACTTCTATTTTTCTTTGTGCACTTTCAGTGTTTTCCAA